TTTTTTTATTCCTGACTCTGGCGTCAGTGAATAAACAAATCAAATAAATTTATTTTTACTCATCACATAAAAAAATAAAATAAATTTAAATCAGATATTTCTTTTATTCCTGACTCTGGCGTCAGTGAATAAACAAATCAAATAAATTTATTTTTTACGCATCACACAAAAAATAAAATAAATTTAAATCAGATATTTTTTTTATTCCTGACTCTGGCGTCAGTGAATAAACAAATCAAATAAATTTATTTTTTTACGCATCACACAAAAAATAAAATAAATTTAAATCAGTTATTTTTATTCCCGACTCTGGCGTCAGTGAACAAATGAAAAAAAATAAACTTATTTTTTATGCATGTACATATGTTTTTATTTTTTTCTAGCTAAAAATAACGAATAAAAAATGATATAGATTTAAACCGGTATTTTTATTTCTGACTCTGGCGTCAGTGAATAAACCAATAAATTTACATTATTTTTTTTATTCATGCCTATATTTTTTATTTTTGCATTTTTGAAATATTTTATTTTACTTTTTTTTTTTGGGCTGGGCTGGGCTAACCCCAGCCCAGCATATATATTGGTGGTTGGGCACAGCTCAGCCCCACGGGGGCTGGGCTAGGCCCAGCCGGCCCCGCCCGGTCACTAGCCTAAGCCAGTGACCGGCTGGGCAAACAATTGATGCACACGTGAAGCACCTTCACGCGTGCATCAACAGTGCGAAGGTAATTAAGTTACCTTCGCACTGTTCAAGTGCAATCTTAATACAGGAGCCCAAAACAGAGAGCAACGGGTGTGGGTATACCTGTTTCTGGAGATTCCAAAGATCCTGCCGCTGGAGACCGAAGATCCTGCTTCTGAAGACCGAAGGTGCGTGCAGTGTTTGATGATGGTTCCTGTCTACTGCTTCTTCTGGTTTTCTTTCTGTGACCACTTGTCCGTGCTTTCCTCTTGAATCTTCAGTGAATTCCGGCTTGCTGTGAGTTTGTTTTGGGTGCTTTCTTTTTGTGCAGGGGTGTCTGCAGAGATGAAGGCAATGGCAGAGACAATTCTCTGTGTATACTGGTTTCCTTTCCTCTCCTTCTCTCTGTGTACTGCTTCTTTCTCTGGTTTTTTTTTTGTTTTGTTTTTGCTCTGGTTCTGACTCTTTTTTCTCTCGCTCTGTTTCTTTTTCTTTTTGTGAATTGCTCCGTTTTTGGGTTGATTTTTGCGTTCTCGACTCTGTATTTTTGGGTTGATTTTTTTCTGTTTTGCTCTAGTTTTCTCCCCCTTCACGCCTAGTTTTCTTCTCCCTTTTATAGAGAAATTGGCTCTGCCCCAGTCCTGTCTTTGTAGGACTGTGTTATGGAATCCCTGAACGAGATTATTGGCAACAGATGTTATCCAAGATCGGGTTTGTTGCAGATTATCAGCTCCCCTGCTGAATCGGAAACTCCCCTATTGACTCGGGATGGAGAAGACGTGGCAACGACGGCGTCTTGGCTGGAAACGGGAGTTTTCAATTTGACCCCTGGGCTTTGGAAATTCGGCAATTGGACCCCTTAATCAATTAAAATTCCTTTTAATTTTTTTCAGTTAATTTCAATTAGATCCCTAAATTGATACGTTATTCACACAACAGTCCTGAATTTCTGAACTATTCAATTTAGTCCTTGAACTTTACTTTTCCAATAATTTTCTCTAAATAACCTCCAAACTTTGGTATTTTTTCAATTAAACCCCTGATTCTTTTAATTAATTAAATCAAAATTTAATTAAGTCCTCAAACTCATTAATTCCTCAATTTCTTTTAATTTAATTAATTAACTTAATCCCAAGCTCAATTAAATCTCAAAATTTATTAATTCTCCAATTAAACCCTTGATTTAATTAATTAAACTAGTCAAGAGTTTAATTAAATATTTAAACTTTCCAATCATGTTTTCATTAACTCAAATTTTAGTTCATTCTTCATTTACTCTTTTTTTTTTTATCAAAATGTTTTAGTAAATAAAAAAAAATCAAAAATTTGGTTATGACAGTTACCATTAGAAAAGTTGGTGAATAGAAAATATTTTTCTGTCAACGAAAAACACTTTCATATAAAAAAAAGTTTGGCTTAATTTTTAGAAAAGTATTTTTGTTTTATTTTGAACGGAAAATATTTTTCAAAAGTTGTGAAAATTTTAAAAATATCATAATATTTATTGATCATGTCATATTTACTCATCAAAATTTCAATTCTTATTTGTTATGGTTTGATGATATTTCAATTTCTATCAGCCTACTATGACGGGTTTCCTATGATGAACCCTGATTTTCTTAATCAAGAATATGGTCTAAATGATGAAATGTCTTTAATTATTATTAAGACTTCTTTCAATGACCCTAGTTTATCCTAAAAACAAAACTAAATCTTAAAAATAGATTAAACACAAAAAAAAAAACACAAAACATGACAAAACGGATAAAATGTAAAAAAATAACTGAAGAACATGAGAAACATTCAACATAAAACCAACAACATGAGTTCCAAATTAGACTTGATGCAGTCAAATCAATGGCACAAACATGTTGAAAATTATAAAATAATTAATAATCTAGCATCTATTTACTTTAATTATCAAAAAATTAACACAATTTTGTCAAAATAGGTTTTTATTCAAAATCGGAACCTGAGGATTAAAACCCTCAAAAACTTGTCATTAATGCTAATAAACCCTAGATTATTGACTAATTAAGTTACTTGAATGATTTAGTGTAAAGAGTTGGACCAAAACCAATCCAAATTATGGAGTTAAGATAATGTTCTTTTCAAGAACATGAAGAATACTGCCCAACAACCCATAAATAGCCCAAAAACCCAGCACATTGTGAAGCCTTTAAAATTGATAATTTTTTACTTTTAAAACTTGATTTCTTTATTCTAACAAGTTACATAACTTTAATCAAACATGTTTGAATAAAAACAAATAACAAATAACATCAAAATTATACCAGTGATTCCAAACTTCAAAACTGCTAGCTTAATACAGTCTATAAAAACATAAAATTTCAACTCAAAATTGACTCTTTAGGCACTTGAAACCCAAATCATGCTTAAGAACCAAGAACATACATTAACAAACTAAAAAGAGAATCAATAACCCTACTACTAGATTCCTTAATCATTTTATTTCATTTAACTAAACATCCAAATATATTTTAAACATCTAGCAATATCAACATGCAACTACAAACAAGATTAAATAACATTTTATGTATTAATCAAAATAAAAGTTAAAAGCAAAATAATGTAATAATTATTCAAAAACACTATAAAGTATGAAAGAATAGGCTAGAGATGTGCCTCATAGACATCATCTACTAGGATAAATGAATGTTTTATTCCTTTCAAACTCAAACAATGGTTGTTACCCTTTGTTTTTTTTTAAATTTTTTTTTTACTTTTATTTAAAGTTGCAAAAATTCTTGTACTAGACTCTTAAACCTTCACAATTTAGAGTTCCTTTATCTTCTTTCTTTCTCCCCTACTTTGATTTTTTAAAGGGTATTTATAAGGTTTCAAACTATAATTTTTATTGATTTAATTAAACATCGATCCTCCTTCTTAAGAGCTTAACTCTCTGATCAAAATAAGAAAGTTTTAGGTACGTTTATAGTTGTGATCTCTGTATTTATATTGGTTTTACAATGGTGATTTTGTAACAAATTTGATCTTAAAGATTTTGGTGGTTTGCCCAAACTTAGAGACTAAAGAGCTTATTTATGGCCTTTTAATCCTGAGAGAAACGTGTTCATCGATGACTGAGTTATCCATTTTCGAGGCTTCATCAGAGCAACTTTGACATCATTATCATCGATAATTTTACTGTATGTTTTTCTAATTTGTATTCATTATTTCCTTTCAATTACTATATTTTCAAGAGAAAAAAAATTCAAGTCCAAGTTCAATAAAAGCGCCCTTACTTCATTAAGTAGTAGTGTTGATGATCATGTTGTGAATCCATGGAAGATTATGAAGAGGCATCTAAAGTATTAAAATGTTAAGGTGAATGAAATGTTTGAAAGAAATGTTTATCTTGGATAGTTGTTGAAGACACTACAACATCAGTGTCTTGCTATCTAAGAACTATATTTTATAGTGCAATAACTTGTGTTGTAATGACATTTAGTGTTAAAATCATGATTGGCTTATAAAACAAATAAAAGAAAAAAAAATAAAAATCTTCAATGAAAAAAACATTTCGTTTGCATTTCTATAAGAACTTCCACTAGAATGTTTGTATACATTTTGTAACTTGGGACAAAACTTATAAAATGTATAGAAACTTTGGGTTTCCAATTTTTTAAAAAATTTTTATTTCATTAGCAACTTTTAATTTTGATGGATTTTTCAAAGAAAAATTAGTGATAAAAACTGATTCCAGGCGTGGATATTATATCAACAATTATGTTGGTATTGAAAATTGTTAATGAAATAAAAAACATGACAAGTTACTTTTTGGTTATAGTATTTTGTCTCCATATAAAACACCTACAAAATCTTCCTTGTACATCCACATAATATTTTTCAAAAAAAATTAGTATAAAGAGAAAAATAAGAAAGAATCTCTAATTGTAAATGAAAATATTGTTATTGGATTTGATAAGAATGAATATGATTTTTCCCCCTCAATTTAATGTGATGTAGATTTATTGCATAAATATTGATAATCATTATTATAACTATGTGCGAAATGCCGGATATACTTGGTGGTAGTTGCTAGTTCTTGTATCTTAGTAAAGATTGTAACTTAAAAATCCAACTTGCTCTCTTATAGTCAAGGATCAAATGAGTGTCATCAATGATATTCTTTTGCCTAAACGCATATGTGGGGGAATTCTTTAACTTATTTCTTGTACATCATAATTTATTTTTGGCAAGTTCTTGCACATCATAATTAAGACCGAATTTCTTTTTTATGATTAAGCCATTTTTGAATTCAAATTGTCCCATTGGGCATCTATGAAAAGCCAATACTAGGTAACTATGAAGGGAGCTAGTAGAGCCTCTAGACCACTTCTTTTCACACACTTGTCTTTTATTACTATTTGTTTTGGTGCAAAACCTTCTTTGATTATGTTTAGACTAATTATGGGAAACTTGAAAAACATGGCAAAATAATGAAGTGAAAACAACGTAAAATTTGGTGAGGAGGTCTGGAAAGGAGAAAACCTAGACTAGCATTGGTTGTTTTCTTTGAGATAATTAAGACTAGGTAGGGTTCTTACTTTCAAATGTCACTTGCTTTCCCCGTTACCTTGTACCCGAACATGAACTCTCTTCAACGCAACTAGTTTTATGCCAAGTTTTCCTCATTAAGTCCCTTTCACATTGAGCGTTCTCTGCCTCAGCTCTATTACTAGCGCTAACCCCACTGAAGTAAATGCCCCCGAGCCATCGTTTCTCCTTCGCAAATTCTGTAGCATTCTTCATTAATTAGCTAATGAAGTTCTTTTTGTAATTCACAAACAAACCTTCGCACCTGCTCTGGGTTTAATTTATTGGTGATACTTGCAAGTCACATGATAGATATGATAATAATATTAGGTCGTTGTGTCTTGTGTGTGCAAATGCATGAAGACAACTTGAAGAGACTTGTTGCGCAATTGCCATTTGCCACCATGAAGACTGGAGTAGGTGCGATCCTGCTCCTATGGAGGGAGGGGCTGGCGCCTGTCCATCCTTGCAGACCGGATAGTACAAAACTCCTCTCTTCTTTTGGTGCTTTTGGACTCTTTCATATATTTATTTTTCGAGGAGCAAACAATTTATACAAATGGATGGATTATTTAATCAACATGTTGC